CACAACCCCCTCATTATATGACACAGTTATCAACAAGGACAATAGCAATGAATGGTATGAGCAATATATTATTAAATTTGTATATCTTTGTTAAATGTGTCTAATATTCCACCATCATTTAGTTTTGAAATTCTGTTAGTCTTATACTATATGTTATTCAATTCTGAGGCTTAATATAATTATAACACATTCCAGATAAATTCACAAATATTATCGATGACCTTTTAATTAGGTACTGTCTCAAATCTCATTATTCCATCATACGCTGATGAGAACATTTCTCCAAGACGATCTACTGAAAGTGTTCGTGAGAGGCCAAAACCACCATTGACAAACCAGCGTACCGAAAGATTTCGATCGTTTTCATATTCTGATGCATCACCATCATCAACTATTCCAGAATCATCTAGTTGTCCATCATCACCTTCTTCGATAGCAAAGCAACATATACCAATTGTATATCCGGCTTTACTTTCACGAGTTGCAGAAGCATTTCGTGCACGAGTTACTTTATCAAATAGGATGAAGGACAATCTTGAGTATAAAGATTGTTTCGATGGAAGAGAGGCCGTGGTATGATGTTATATAATTGTTTATTAAACCGTCAACATTTTGTTTAACATATACTCTTGTGTTTTGAAATTCCTTTAAAGGATAAGATTGCGTTTATCATCAAAACAACGGATAGAAATTTGGCACTTTTGCTTGGTCGAGCCTTTGATTCTCAAAAGTTTTTCCATGATGTTACATATGATCATAGACTTCGCGATTCTCCAAACGAGTTATATCAATTTCAAAAAATGCCTTCAATATTATCATCTGAAAATTATGAGCTTGAAGATAATGAAGAAGATGCAGAAGAAAATGATCTACCAAATGGTGTATTTACTTTATTGACTGATTGCTATTCACCTACATGTTCTCAATATAACTTATGTTATAGCATTGCTTGTCCTCGTAGATTGGAACAAGTACGTATTTTCACGTAAATTTATATTTTATTGTTTAATACATTGCTGTTGATTCACTTCTATTCTAAAATATTCTAAAAAAAGCACGCTAGGAAAAATATGAAGCCAAATCCAGGACTAAAAAGATCAGTTAGTCGTGGATCAATCTCTGATAAAAAGGTATTTGATTTGGTAATTGTTTTTAGAAGAAACATTTTCTTACTAATAATAATTATGATCTAGGATCAGAAGTTATGGATTCATTCGGTACCGGCCGAAATTGCTAAATCAGTATCGGAAACGGAGAAAAAGCGCCAAGAAGCCATAAATGAAGTAATATATACGGAAAAAGATTTTGTTCGTGACTTGGAATATCTGAAAGATGTAAGTTAATACATTACATCTATATTTGTTTGTCGCTTTGTTATTAATTATTGTACTATTTTAGTGCTGGATAGATCCTCTCATGGAACAAAATGTTATACCTGAATCTCATAGGGAAAAATTTGTTGAAGAAGTTTTTTTCAATATATTGGAAGTTCATGGTGTTAATGTCAAATTGGCCGATGCATTAGAAAAGCGTCAAAATTCGTTTGCCATTGTGGAACAAATTGGAGATATATTTTTAGAATATGTTCCGCTGTTTGATCCGTTCATTAAATACGGTGCCCATCAGTTACGGGGCAAATATGAGTTTGAAAAAGAGAAAAATACCAATCATGAATTCGCAAAATTTGTTGAGGTAACGTTTATATTTTAAAGTTTATGTCATTATATTGTAATAGATTATTGAAATTATTTACATTTAAATCTTTGTTATAGGTAACTGAGCGGCGTCCTGAATCTAGAAAACTTGAGCTTAATGGATATTTGACCAAGCCAACAACACGACTTGGTCGTTATCCATTACTTTTAGATGCGGTTCTTAAACAAACTCCAAAAGATCATCCTGATCGTATTAATTTACCAAAAGTGATTAATATTATCAAGGAATTCCTTACAAATGTTAACGTTGAATCCGGGAAATCCGAGAATCGTTTTCATTTACAGCAATTATATGACCAATTAATTCCAAAAGGAATCGAACATATGGTAATATCATTTTAATTATTGTTAACGAAAAAACAAACTTATTTCTATTATTTTTTAACATATTTTAAATATATTCAAAGGATCTTAAATTGACAGAGGAAGGACGTCAGCTAATTTTCAAAGGTTCTTTAAAGAAACGAGGGGGTGGTGGGGAATCGTCTGATCTGCAGGTGTTTTTGTTTGATCATGCATTACTCATGGTTAAGGCCAAAACCATGAATAAAGTTGAACAATATAAAATTCATCGGAAGGTATCTATATCATTTACAAATATATATAATGATAAAATTTTTTTATCATCATCCTTTGATATTCGTTTTTTATGTGCATAGCCAATACCTCTTGAATTTCTGAGTGTATCTGCAACAGAAGGATCATATGAAAATCGTGTAAATCCAAGACGACCTCAATCTATTTTACCCGGAAAAGCTCCAGCAGTAGTGCGCGGTAATAATGACAGACAATTTGCACTTACATTTTGCCGACTTGGAAAAAAGTCATTTACCATAACGTTATATGCTCCTACATTTATCAGTCGTAAAAAATGGATTGAGCATATTGAAAGACAGAGAGAAATAATTAATGACAAGAGTAAAGTTTTTGAAAAAAACATTTTATTAGAAAAAAAGACTTTTTTTGGTCCAAGTAAAGTTATCTGTGGTGCTTTTTTTGGTAAGTTATTTGTTAATTATGTTTTTTATAATACAGATTAATAATAAACTATTTTATCTAGATGATTACCGCAAATTAGCTTTTGGAACAGATCTTGGAATATATGTGTTAGAAATCGGCCCAAACGCAAAACCTGCATTTCGCGCAATTCAAATAGAAAAAATATCTCAGATTGATATTCTTGAAGAATTTCATTTATTGTTAGTATTAGCAGGTATATTGACAATTACTTTAGGTATAAAAAATATAAACAGATTTAAAATACAATCATTTCCTCATAAATAATTATCTTCATAGATAAAAGTCTTTATTCGTATCCGCTTGAATCATTGGATCCTAATAAGTCAAAAGAAGCAACTAAAAAGACAAATAAAATCAGCTCACATGTCAGTTTTTTCAAGTCTGGAACTTGCCTTGGAAAAACCTTGGTGACTGTTGTAAAAACTAATGCTCTTAATTCAATTATTAAGACACTTGAACCTATTGAGCAAAATACAAAGAACAAAAATAAAAGTCCACTAAAGCTTTTGAGTGGAAGAAGTAGTGATTCATTAAAAACTTATAAGGTAGCGTTATCAGATTAAAGGTTTTGGATCGGTTAAGTATAGTGGGATTGAAACTTCAAAGTTTATACTTAATTTATATGTTTAATCTTGACCCTTTCAGGAATTTTACATTCCAACGGAATTAACGTCTGTAAATTTCCTTAACAAAAAGTTATGTGTGGGATGCTCTGCAAAAGGATTTGAGGTGGTTGATTTAGAAACACTTATCACACAAAGTTTAATTGATCCGGATGATGTTTCACTCGATTTTGTGCGAAAGAAAGAAAATATTAAACCAATTGCCATTTATCGAATTTCAGGAGGAGACTTTTTATTATGTTATGATGGTAATTGAAGTTAATCGCTATTTTGGATTTTAAATTTTTAATTATTTCCCTTTAAATGCATTTTAATTCTTTTTCTTTTTCAATAGAATTTGCCTTTTATGTTAATAAGGTTGGATGGCGTTCACGACCAGATTGGTTAATAACATGGGAAGGATCCCCGACTTCTTTTGGTGTGTTATAATGTCCTTTTTCGTATCTTGGATTTTCTTTTTTCCTTCTCTAATATTATATGTATAATTTTTATTATTATAGCTCTTCGTTATCCTTATGTGCTTGCCTTTGAACCATCTTTTATCGAAATTCGCCATGTTGAAACTGGCCTTCTTGAACAGATTATTGAAGGACATAATATGCGTTGTTTATATTCTGATTCACGTGGCAATATTTTAGTTGTTACGACAGATCAGGCAACAGATAGTTCCGAGGTTTTTTCGTTGAAACTCGTTGATGGTAAAAGTAGTTCTTTAATTTCTGCGGCAACAAGCATAGCCACAAGTGTTTTAGGTTATGATGCAAGACATGTTAATAGTAGTTGATACATTAAAGTTATACGACCGTGTGTTTATATTATCATGATAAAAGGCTTTTATATATCTTCCCTCTCGTAGTTAGTATTAATTTTTAATGAAATTATTATAATAAACTTTTTTTAGTTTCTTTGTGGGCTTGGTGGATATTTATTTTGGTGGGATTTTAAAAAGCTTAGAACTTTTTTGTATTCATTCATTTCAATTTTTGTAATTTTTTTTCTGTATTTTTTTTTTTTTTTTCAATTTTGAATTTTTCATGATAGAAAATTTGTGCATTATTTGTGATATATTATTTTTATTTTTATTTTTATTTATTTTTTTTTTATTATTATTATTATTATTACTATCGTTATTATTTTGATTATCTTTACCTTAGCTCTTGACATTCTTCGATTATATATATAAAGTTGAACAAAAAAAAAAAAAATTTATTAAAAATAATTTAATATCTATTATTTATTTATTAGGATATGCTGATTTTAGTAATAATTGATGATGATTTGGATGGTATATGTATATCAAGATTGACAATTTTTATTTAACTAGTTAACTAAAGCTAGTTGATCCTTAAATGATTATTTTTATTTTTTTTTTTTATTGCAATATATAATATATGTAATATAAATATAATAAATATAATGTTGGGTAAATGAAATACCAAAAATATATATATATAAAAATATATATATATAAGGGATATATATATATTAAATTTCAAATAAATTTACTATAATTATAATAATGAGAGTAATACAACTGTAATGTTGGTGCAAATTTCTATAATACAAGTTAAATATGAATATCAAATATGATAAATACAAAAAACGGAATCTGGATTAAGATGAATACCAATGAAAAGTTCGTTCAGCGATGCGTCCCTTTCATACTATCGTTTCTTCTTATTTGAGCCAATACTAGTTGAAAAACGTATTGTGTGTCGTTAAAAGGATGTTGCATCACTGCATGTATTGCATTCCTACCCGAAGAATTATCATTCAAGCATCGCAGATTTTTGCCTGGAATGACTTGACATAATTCTCCCTAAATGATGTAAATTACAAATTAAAAGCCCAATATTAATAAATATTACTAATGTAAGAACGCGCAATCGGTAATTAAGATGAAGAATAGTTTAGCTTACATTATGCACGTCCCGAATTTCAATGAATAAAGGATTAAAGCCGATGACATAAGGTAATTGTAACGCTGAAAAGAGCATAAAATAGAATATGTTAAAAAAAAAAATTCAAATTTAATTCAAAAAAAAAACAATTCTATTCAACACCCACCAACTGCTTCGGGCTTGCCTTCCCATGGGACTACCGTAGTCCGTGATAATTCGCCATGTTTATCAACATAAAAGAATATTTCTAAGATAATATGAGAAATAAAGTTAGGCCTTATTATTTACAAATTGTTGAACCGCCGACAACTAGCTTACCGTCGTAACACAACAGGAATTCATTAGAGTAACTTTCATCTAATCTAAACATCCCCAGAGGTTTGGAATTGTCACATCTTCGTGCGATATTTGAGAATTGTGGATGAGAAAGGTCTGGTATTGTTCCATTTTGAAGCGACTCTAAATTAACGATTTCAAAACCGCGCGTACAAGTGACACATAACCTTGACCTCAAGAAATTTACTGAATAAGATTCTGACGGAACATAAAATTGCTAATAAAATAAAAATAAACATAAAAATATTTTCAAATGTGGATTTGGGCTCATGTCATTCAAATTAAAATAAAGCAAATAAAGCAATACCTTATATTCTTTGAACCAATCATTTCGCATCTGAAACATGCCCTTACGTTGACCGGTTGTTCCAATGGGTTCTAAAACCTTAAAATGACTTTCTAGTCCTTTCTTTTTCATGAAAACAAGGAAAGTACGGTCTCTAATAGTGCCAACATTGAAATATTGAATGTTACTGCTAGCTAATCTTTGACGAGTCTGAGTTCGGCCAGATGTATTGGTGCTTGTGGATGATGGAATCAACGATTCTAATGAATAAGCCCATAGCGCTTTGTCTATATAAAGTAGGTAATTAATTATCATTTTAATTGAATACTTGAAACCAATCTTGTAATTTTCTAAACTCACCAACTAATACAACAAAAATTCCGAACTCTTCAAGCACCGCCATTTGCATCACATTACCGATACCCGTCAAAACTGGACGAAATGTCTTGGTTTCTCCTCCAAATCCCATCCATACACCATCTTCCGTTCCAATAGCAACCATGTTACGCTTTTCGGGGGTAACTATAAATATTATCAAACCATTCCTAGTTCATTATATATGAACTTTAGAAATAATTGGATACTTTTGAAAAATTAACTTACCAAAAGGGACGGAGCAAGTTACTTTGACTTTTGATGCATTCGTTGAATGTGATCCTCCAGGAGTCGCAATTGAAGCTGTCCCGAATGTCGCATCGTTCAATGTAAATAATTCAAATACTTGCTGACTTGCCTTACTTAATTGAAGCTTAGTTTGTGCCTCCGCAATCTTATCCTTCCACATTCTACGAGTATTAGCAGAATCTGCAAATAACTGGTAGGTTCCCCCGTTACGACCGATATGAAGGATTGTGAAAGAGTGTAAACTCGGTCGACTTAAAAGATTTTCGGGTGCTTCAAGATCGGTAACAGCAACGAGAGGCGTGGCGGCTGAATTTTGACCCATACTATTTGTTCTTTTTCGATTGTCAAGCGCGCTACCAAGGTTAGGGAAAAATGTGGATTTGTTGGGTTGAACAATATCTGAGCCCGAATCTACAATAAGCATATCTAAAGGAATCGGCTTTAAAATAAAATAAATTATATCAGTACGTTTAAAAATAATAGTAATAATAATAAATTATTTATATAATATACTTTTTTCGAGACTATATATCTGACTTCTCCATCAGCACCTTTCTTTGGTTTTGTCATCACCAAATAATGATCAAAAAGAAAAACATATAGGTCCAGCCATTCGAGACCTAAATCTGCCTTCTTTTGTAATTCTCCCTTAAATATCAATTGTCGATTTGGATCCGAAAGCTTAAGCTCAGGCTGGAAATAAAAAAGGAAATAATTTACAAATTTTAATATTATGGAATCATTAATATATAAAGTTGTTAAAGTTAGGTACGAAAACACGAACACATCGATCGTTGTTCTTTTTCACTAGTTTCCGTTCCAGTTCTACTATTCTCAATCGTTTTTCAGCTTCGTGAACTCTATTATCACTTTCCCTACATAATTCTCGAATTTTTTGCAAAGCATTTTCCAAAACTTTTTTATCTTGATTATCATCTGCCGTGTATTTAATAATCTGTTCAAGTAGCAATGTGTACCGTTGTAAACGTTGTGTCGGTCTTTGAACAAAGTGACGGAAATCAAGTTTACGTGCTTCAGGTTTTCGTGTACATTGCTATGATTTAAATTATTACATTAGTAAATCTCAGTAATTTTTTAATATAATAAATAAATATGTAGATATAACAAAAAAAGTTTAAAATAAAGAAAGATTAAATATTATAATCTTTACGATAACTATCAAATAATTTTTTTTTTTTAACAAAAAATTATGAATACTATTGCTTACCTCCAAAAAACGTTTAAATTCTGGATTTCTCGCTTTCTCAATTTTTATGGTATTATCAGCATGAGGAAAATTCCCATTATATGTTACGTAATCATTTCCAAACTCGAGTGCACATTCTAAAAATATTTCACCGACATTGTTTACTACATAATTTTCTTTCTGCAGTTTTTGCAAACGTCCTAGCATGACTTTGTTGTGTTTCCTGATTTCGAAAACGTTATAAAAAACGTCTTGAATGAAATTATCAAGATCAGGCGGTGGAATTATGGGAGTTGGGGATGAACGAAGCCCTTGAACATATAACTACAGTGTAAAAAAAAAATTAGTCATTTGAAATGATTAATTAAGGTCAAATCAAATTACTAATTTCGAGTATAAAGAATGTTTACCGTATCTAAAAGATCTAAATCCTTTACATAATCATCTTCCGTATATATAGTTTCGAATATAATTTCTTGACGTTTCTTCTCATCTTTGGAGACGCTATCCAATATTTCTTTCGGAACGGAGCTTATCCAAGTACGTTGCTCCTGCGATGCCGCTTGAACCTTGAGTAACCAAACATTAAATATATTAAAATCAGCATAAAGAAGCATTCTTTGTTTATGAAGGAAAAAACATTTTGATTCAATTAGAGTAAAATTTCGAATTCTTTTACCTGTGAATCAGTGGGACCTGCAACTAGATCAACCGGTGTGCTTGGAATAAGCGAAGGATCAGGTTTAATTTCATTCTGAAGTGTTGTGATAAAAAAGATATATTTGACTTTAGAATAACGAATAATGTCAATTTCTTTATGAACCATAAAGAAGTTGATAAAATAGGTTAATAATTACCACGCCAGGAACATAGTTCGAACAAGTCCTGGAATAACATCCTTTACCATCAATACCACAACGTGGACTATAGCACTTCGAAACGGCGGGAAATACACCGGTGGGAAAATCTTCATCCCATTCCCATAACGTTGGTGATCCGGGGTCAGGGTTAAGGAATGCGTAAACCTCGTCTTTATTATCATTAATAACAGAAATTGTTGCCCAATTTATCGAATGGAAGTAGAGTTGTGCTTCTAATGAACGGGCCATAGACAAAGCCACGCGACGTGGAATATCACATGGTAAGAGAGAATAAATTGTATTCTAAAGTAAATACATTAAAGGTTAGTTAATTGTATTGAAATTTTTTGAAAAAAAAATAATTGATAGATAATTATTAATTGATAAGATATTTACCACAGCATCTATACCAGTAAAACTTTCTGGGTACTCCAAAGCACCTTTTACGTGGGTACCCAGGTTTACAGTGGCACGAAAAGCTAATGCTATATTGGATAGTAATGCTGGATCCATTAAACCATTGATACCATTTGCATATGATTTTTTGGCGGGTGCTGAACTAGAATTTGAATTTGAACCACGTAACGAAGTCCGATTTTTTACTTGAGATTGATATGGAAAATAAGATAAAGGGACCCCAGAGGCGGCGGAAGGGAATTGCATAAATTGACTGGAAATCAAATTTAAAGATCTTGATTATTATAATTTTGATTTATTTACAACATATCTATAGGAGTTAAACACTGACCTGTAATCTGACTCAACCGGATAAGCATCGTAAGGATCATTAGGTAATGACTGAAATACATTTTTTAATCATTAATTAGAAACTTTGATTACTTTAAAAATAAAGATCATATGAGGTAACTTACCGGTATGGATGGGACACATCTTTGCGTCTGGTTTTGCTGCTCGTTATGATATGGAAGAGGAGAAGTTACTGCCGATGCATATGAATGAAAATCAGGCATTACAATAGGAGTTGCTCCAGGAATTGAAGAGGTTGCGTAACTTCCTCCGTAATTATATTGTTGATTAGCATATGGTGAGGGAGCTTGATAAGGTGGGTTTGACATTGGAGGGTTCGGCAACGGTCTCGCAGGAGGACTTTGATAATGCTGCGTACTTGTATTGGGCCAACCTTGAGAGGTAAGGTCACGAGGAAAGCTAGAATAATAATTATAATTTGAATAAAATGGCGCACTACCATAAGGTTGTTGCACTTGTGGCATTGAACTAGTATTATAAGCTTGTTGCTGCGAGTGACCATAAGGTGGTTGTGAGCTGTATTGCTGTTGATATGAATTCACAGGACCGTGAACATTATATGAAGCTGCATTTTGTTGTGAACGATTTGTCATTGAAGAATTTCCGGAAGTGCGCCGAGTAAGGTTTTCTACACTTGAAGAGGGAATTTCTGTGCTAAGCCTATTTGAACGATGGCTTAAATTTATCGGTTCGATTGAAGGTGAACTTATTACATTTAAAGGAGCTGAGCTTGTTGGCTGATTCCAACAAGGATTATTTAAGTGAGAAGGATTATAAGTCTCCTGTGAAATTGTTAACTCCTCGTCAATCAAATTTAATAAATGATCGATGTCATTGGCATTTTGAGGTCTTCCTTGGCTACTTGGTTTTGGAGGAATTGGTGGTGGGGCATCATGAGTGGCCGACATTTTTTTAAATTACGGTTGTAAAATAATTTGTAAAAGGTTAAAGTACCTATGGTATTAATATTTGTTTCTATACCTTTATAATATTTATTTGGTATTTTTTAGTGAATTTTTTTTATTGCGGGTCACAAATCAGTTATTGTAATACCTTGGTTTGTGCTTTTCTTGGAATACGTCACGATTAATCGATTATCCATTTCTTTTGACGGCACAGTAACGAAAATTTTTTTTTTTTTTTTTTTTTTTTTTTTTTTTTTTATTTTTAATAATTTTGATATTTATAGGAAGTAAAAAATTTTCATTTAGACAAATTTTTTTATTTTTAAATTTTTTTTGATATGTTTAATTAATTAATCGATATAAAAAGGTTAAGATTTTAAGTTTAGGTTAATTGAATTTTTCAAATCATAGAAGGTACTACTGCCTCAACGCCTCGGCGCCCCTGTACGATCATACAGGTTTCGCAACAATTTCGAGGGGGTGATTACCTAAAACTAAAACCAGGAAAATTGTAAAATTATATCATTTTATATCTAAAAAATTTACGGCCGAGAAAACATAATGGGAGGAGACGTTATTTCCAAATTGATCATTTGGACTAACCAAACCCGGATAACAATGTCTAAAATAATATTATTGTAACATTATGTTTTTGATTTTAGGTAAAATTGATTTAGATTTGTACATATCATACAAAATAAATAAATCGCGATTTTTTTATTAAATTTATCACGTGACTTATGTTTTAATTACATTGATTACATTCCTTGATAATCTCCTCTTTGACAAATAATTTTTTTAGGGGTCACTTCTTTTTTAACAAAAAAAATTCAAACGAACTTTGATGCGCCACGAATCGCGGATTAATCGTTATATATTCTAGAATCGAAATCTTAATTTTCCATTTTCGCACGTGACATTCTTTTTCCTGATAATCTCTATACGTATATTATATATATTATTTCCCTTCTCAAAGAAAAAAAAAAAAAAAATTAATGTCGTAGGGATGATTGCTTTGAAATTCTCTCGTTCATAATATTGTAGTGTATAATATATATATATTTATCTTCTATCTCCTTCATTATCTTCAATTGTTGCTCATTTTTTTTTTAAAAAAAAAAAATTTTTAGAAGCGTAGACATTTTGTTTTCACGCTCCGTGCCTCCATTGATACGGATAATTATATTACTGGAAAATTACAACTCTTTATATGCCTCTACGGAAAGCTCGCTACTCTTTCCACAGAACTTTGATTACCGGTATTCACTTTCACTCTTCACTTTATAGTAAAAATTTGTTGTTTTGCTTATACAGACTATTCACTTCAAATGCGAGAACCATAAAGCAAATCCGTGAAAATAGCTTTGCCGTTTTCGCATTTAATACCCTCCAATGCGGTAACACCCGTACGAATGCATTAGACGCATTAGACGTAAATGGTTCATATAGGTGTTGTATCACGCGCGTCTTTCTTCGACTCGGACATTGCAAAAGAAAACATCACGTTTCATCAATGAACTTTATAATAACCTCTCATAGGCAATTCTCAAAGTTCACTGTATTAAATTCTAATTCGACACATGTTCACACCAATGTTACGAATTTAAGCTACAAAAAGGATGATCCGTATGACGCAAAGGTTTCGAAGGTGGTTCACCACCTTGAAGAGACAAATGGCAAGCCAAACTTGTCGGATGAACCCCCTTTAAAAGGAAGGATCCTTGGGGATGCAAAACTTTGTTCGTTTAATGAGAGGGTGAAAATAAAGCACAGTAAAGATTCATTAAATTATAATATTCTTACCGAACATTTATACAAGTTTAGAGACGACCCTTTAAAGGTTTACGAGATCTACACAAACGTTTTAAAAAGTGGGCTATTGAATTACATCAAGAGTCATCATTTGACATTGTTTCTTCATATCATTTGTCATTGTACGAACGAGAAGAGATTTGAATGGCTCATTCGGATTATGAGAGATGTTCATTCTTTTAATTTAAAGAATCGGATACCATATAATGTATATAAGAGGATATTACATAAAATGGTGGAACTGAGTGATCATAATGATTCGTTGTCGGAGATTCTTGATGCGATAGCCGAGAAGAACGCTTTTTATGGGAGGATTGATGCATACCGTATTTTAGTGAATATATACTGCGAACGAGGGGATGTGAAAAAAGCCTTGTACATTCTCAGGCAAATAATTTTATTCGGTCAAGTACCTAGAAAGGGGTTGTATAGCGCATTGATTCACGAATTATGCAAGCAAGGGAAATTGGAAACAGCGGAAGAGTTATTGGAAGAATTTGAAGAATATTTGGATACCCCAGACATCTTTTTATTCACGTCTTTAATTTCTGGGTATGGTAAAAAGGGTGAGATCAACAAGGTCAAAAAAATCTTTGAGAGGTTACTTGGGCTTGGTATCCAACCGGACAAGGAACTGTACACAACCGTGATCTTTTCATTCCTTTTGAATGGGGATGTCCATAGTGCCTACGAATTTTACGAAAAAATCCTTGAACAAGATATAGATCATGATAGTTATTTATATGCTTCTCTAATCTACATGAGAGCGATTAACTCCGACTCCGCGAACGCAAGGAAAATCTTTGAAAAAATGAGGGCATCAGGAATAACGCCAACCACGGAGGTTTATAATCATCTCATGTATGCCTATAGTCGAGACAATTCGATTGACACCTCACAGATTGAGGATTTATATCTGCAGATGCTGGGTGATAGGGTGAAACCAAATCATTATACGTACGAAATCTTAATTGATGACATGTGCAAAAGGCACGATTTTTCAAAGGCATCTAAATTTCTCGGCGAGATGCAAAAGAATACTCCAATAACCAAATTCGTCTTGAATTCTATAATCCGTCATAAAACTTTATCAGAAAATATCGATCATGCGATACGATTGTACAAGCAAATGATCTCTGTTGGCGTAGAACCAGATTTATACATTTATACTTCAATCATTTCCCTTGCAACGGTTTCTTCAAAGCATTCAATGGCTATCAAGGTCTTTAAAGAACTTTTGGAAAAGGGTCACAAACCCAATTTGTATGTTTATTCGGCTTTGATTACGTCTTTGGTAAAAGCAAAGAAGCCTCAAATGGCAATAAGAATTTTTCAACAGATGGTCAGGGATAACGTGTCACTTAACCATGTACCATTTACCGCGTTGATTCAAAGTTTCGTTATGACGAAAAGATTAGAAGATGGCAAAAGATTATATGAAATGATGAAAAAGTTGAATCTGAAGATAGATCGACTCGTATATTACCATTTTGAAAAACTTATTAAACGAGCTAAACACGAAGAGGAACTTAAACATTTGTATGAGGACATAAAAAGTCGTGGGTTAGATCCAAAAAGTCGTGATAGGATATATACAAAGGGCAAAGGACCAAGCCATTGGAAATTAAAATTTTTGATCCGGAGAAGAATTTTGCGACAAGATTTATACAAATCCTTAAAAATCAAAATGGACAAATAATTGTTTTTGTATATATAACATAATCATATATGATCATTTACTGTTACAAATTAATCATAATTTCATAATGTATTAAATTTAATTATATTAAGGTTTAAATCAATCGGTAGTTTCAATTCTATTAATAAACGTTTGCTTTTTTAATTTTTTTTTTCGGTAAGAAAAATTACTACATAGAATTAAGTTGCTTACCAAACATCCGGATCAAGAACACATGTATTTGTATCACAATACCGCTCTATCTCTGGATCAGACTTATCCGTTGACTGAAAATTTTGGAAATCAACTTTTAAATTTTTTTGTTTCGCGCCAGTGATAGTAGAGATTGGAGTTGATAGTGGTAGAAGAGACGATATTATGTTATCGTATTGTTCAGAACTAATAGCTTCTATTGGCATTTGAGCATAAGCACCCAAAGGCATTCGTGGAAGAAATGATATTCCTTTTAGAGTATCAAAACATTTATATAGAGAAGAAAAAAAATATGGTTAGTCACGGTGCGAATATAAAATCCAATAACAAAAATGATCTTGGTGGTCTTATTAAATTTTATAATACCTTTTAGTTGATATTGAAAATAATCAAGTGCATATTTAAGCTGAGGTCCTTCCGTCTCGGGGTCAAAAGTTACTGTACAACTGACCTGATTATCGGACCAATATTTTTGCAAGAATGCTGCCAAACTCAATTGTTCCCACATGGATAATTCTTTCAAACTTCTAATACCTTCCCCATGATCAATAGGTATTTCGACTACTAAAGAACTTGATTCCACCACATCTTGTTCAATTTTGAATCCAATCTTTTCAAGTGGGTCAATTAACTCCGAGTTTTTAGAAAGTCGTACGCGTCGAATACAGAATCTTGATTCAGGATAATGCATTCCAGGTGTCGCTTTTTTTTTTAAAAAAAAAAAAAAAACGAAAAGGGAAAGTCAACACTAGGATAATTATAAGATCATAAGATCATAAATTAGAATACCTCCAGCTAGTAATGAAACGGTACCACTCGGCTTAATTGTTGTGGTTTTGATAGAGTTGGGTACACAAAACCATTTAGAAATCCTAGAGACCCATAGCGTTAATAGATTTCATAAAGTATTCGCTCTAATCTAAATAGCATATCCTTACTCTTTATCAACATTCTGTATATGTTTGTAACCCTCTTCGCACCAGGTTTTCAATTCCGCCAATCCTACAAACGCAGATTTGTTTTAACCAATAAATTTTAGATAAAATTCAAATAAGCAGGTACCTCGTTGACTGATAAATTGTGCAACGCCGCTTAATCCACATCCAATTCGACGGTTTCTTAACATGATCGCATTACTCTGTGGCCAATGGGTCCTCTCAAGAGTTACAGTTTTTGCGTATAAGAATGCGCTATATAACGTATCCAAGAAATCGTCCAATGACGTGTGATTTGTCGGAAACGTTTCCACCAGGCAACATAATTCATATGACTCCAGTGTTTGCTCCAAACATGGATTCCCACCTTGGGCATACATGTCTTTATGATCCTATGTATTTCAATTATAAATATCTCCAACAGAAATCAAGACATAAAAATGATGATAAATGATTTTTACCGGAGGATCGCACATTCTGCTATACGCTCTGGCATTATCCAACCAGGCAAAACCTGGCTCTCCATTCTTTATAACTCGATCACATATCGTTGTGTAATCAAAACCTAAAGGGGCAAAAACCTAATATTTTCATATAAATTTAATTTAAAGTAAGAGAAACTCTTACATTTTGAAAGGTACCATACTCACAGAGTTATTCGATGTCCAACCATATTCACGTCGGTGTGGATTAATATCATAATTTTTGAGATTTATGTATTCAACATCATTTGGATCACCAAATGATATCTCCGCTACTCTTCGAACCTGGTCATTCGATAAAGTGTTACTAACATTACATTTCTATTCAATAAAAAAAAAGAATTTTTTTTTTTTTTTTTACCAACATTTCCACTGACAACACATTTCCCAATTAGATTCATTATGTCCACAATGTTTGTAACGCTCAAAGGTTTTCCGATATTCTCGCTCAACAACCGAGAAATACGCGTATGGAGTCTCATAAGAGGTTCTGCACCTGATGATATGCCTCCAAATCCCTGAAGATAAAATTCAAACCGATCAGACTCACGTACGATTTTGACCGAAATTAACGCGTTTGATTTTATCATAAAACCTTTATTGGTAAGCCAGGTGGGCGAATCTGACTATAATCAAATTGGTACGGGCCGACATTTTCATAAAAGTAAGAGTCGATCAACATTCCGAACGATTTTACCCAACCTTTAGATATGGTTAAATAAGAAATGATGTCGTTGTCAAAATACTCGGATGATTACGAATATACCTTCTCTTGAGTCCTCAATAACATATGTAGTAAATGGTCGTGATATGTTTGGATTCATGATAACGTGCAATTTAGATTCATCCGAATTCGCGCCTTTAGTATCAAATCCAACGCCAACACTACATTCACATTAGGGAAAAAAAAAGATGAGTGGATATATATTTTCTTTTTCGAATAATCAGAATAATCATATGGAAGATATACCCCAACATGCTAGCATCAAATAGGAATGTAAATGGAGTGCTAATAGAAGAGCTACCATCAAACATTTTTTCAGTGCTCACGAAAGCACAATTATTCAAAGCAGAAGAAAGGTGGCGTTCTTCGGTAAGGGGACTGCCCATCGCCCAAAGACCTGAGGTACAATATCATGTTAATTTTGATATCGACCATTTATCGAAAGGTTTTACAATTCCATACATTTAAAACTTAACCTCTTCCGGGTGGTAAAAATTTCATATTAAAGATCTTATCATACATGGATTGAGCGGATTCTTGGGTCTAAAATTACATTAATATTTAAATGTTTCAAGTTAATAAAAGTAAGTAAGAAATAAATCCTTTTTTTTTTATTAAACGACTTGAACCTTGATTGAATCCCAAATTAGACCATTTTGTTCGATCCAACGTTTTTGAATATTGAAAGTACCATTGACCACGCGCTCTATAGTTTCCCACCTAAATCAAACAAACGTAAATCCGAGAAAAATGAATAAAATTAAAATAAATAAATAAATAAATAATACCATTTTTCTTTTTCACCGTCTTCCTTTAACCTCGAATAAGTTCGTCGATATACCATTTCTCCAAGACCGTTAAAGCCAAATGGTGGTATGACGTCTTGATATTTAGAAAGAAACTGCTCTGAAAGTCTGAATTTTTCAGCTTTTGAAGGTTCATTATCGTCTGTAAGGGTAGCACATTCAGAACTCGTTGAAAATGTCCTAGAAACTTGTTTTCGATACCAAACATTCGATTTTAGTAAAGAAAACGAATTCTGACGGGACAAATTCAGAAAAATTCTTGAAAGATCACCCTTCTGGGATGAGGTTGAAGATTGAATAAAATTTGACAAGTTTCGCGTAAAGAGAAGCTTGAAAGGAAAGTGTGATATACCTTTTGTAAACATTGTTTTCAAGAAGGTAAATAGTGGATCGATTATCTAAGGAGTAAAAAAATATTTATATATTAAAAAGAACGTCGCGAAATGAATGCACGTGTCCTTTTTCCATATCCGAGATTTTGACGCGTTATTTTAGTTTTAATTATCATTTCTTGTTGATAATCCCGTAAATTTCTTTTTATGGTATAAACCAATAAGATTTAAACGAGCAATGTCCAAAACGAATTAGAATTACCGCAATTGATGCTGCGCCGTAAAGTTCATACATACGAGAGGAGATAACCATGTACATTTGGATCGTCACCTCTTGCAGGATGAAACGACGATCAATACTAACGAAAATGTTAACACGCGCGATTACCTCATCTTATTATTTTTTATGAATTTAACCAATACGAATTTGAAATGCCTTATTTAGTAAATTAGATCGCCATATGTACAAGAAGCAACTATTCTTTCATTTGAAATGAAGTAATTTAATTCGCACGATTTTTATGAAAAATCTGAAAACATTCCATCCATGTGAAGTAACCATGCTGCAGAGGCGACAAATCTCTTCTTTGTAACAGAGAGGGGGAAGGGGATTCGTATATTTGTAGACTTTGGGATTATAAAAGCTTTTATTATGGTGAAAGAGATTTGAAAATCGTTTGTTCTTTACAGATTTATTTTTTTGAATTTTAAACACGTGTATGTAAGCTACGATTCAATTTTTATAAAGACTTTTTACATAAATTTTTTCATGACTTTATTATTACAAGTTATTTTTATGTCTGAACTTTTTTTCGTATAGGTCGCTTTGAAACAGTCAAGAGTCCTTAACAATTTTAGATGCCTAAATGGTATTTATTCAAAGCAATTCCCTCGGTTTACCTGAATCCAAAAGGGATTACTCAAAAGTTTCACCATAGAACCGCTGTGAATGGTATAAATTCTAACGACATGTTCACGGCTTGTGCAAATTAACCCAAATCCTTTCAAGTTTTGCCGGTACATCGACACGGATCACCCCTTTTTGCCGGTTGGAAAATCACTGGTTGATTTATTTACCACACCGAGTCCGACTAAAATAGCGCGGTAAAAATAATGTTCTGAAGGTGACTTAATTATAGTTTTTGACCGTGTTAAAAATATCAAAAGAGTGTGTTTTGGGGAGATTTTGGGGATATAGATCTGATTGGTTCACCCTCGAAAGTTTTAAAGGGATAACATGCTAACTGCGAATTACCCAGGAAACTTGTAACAAGTATATTTGAACCTAGTAGCTTGGCGAATACGTCCATTATTCAGGAGGATTTGAGATGCAAATTTCCGCAATTAGTCAAGTTCAAAACAAACATAGCTTTGTAATGTTTTATAATTGTACCAAAATGAATTCCCAAAGGAAAAATAGATGTACTGACCATCAGAATTTGGTAGGAAAAAAGAAAAATTTTTTTTTTTTGTCATCATACTTGTTTGACGGATAAGTAATTATCATATGACACTAATTTGACAGTTCTTTCAAACATGTGTAAAAAGTAAATAAAGTATGGGCAAATTCGGCTGTAATAAATGATTGAAAAATAATATTGATATGCATGTTTGCGTGGCTAAAGTGTAAACAATTGGTGACAAAAATAAAAAATCTATTATATTTTTAAGATCAAAAAGAAAAAAATTTTTATTTAACCTATTAAAATGTTTATTATGTCATTTTGTATCAATATATCCGGTGGAACAATAGTAAAGGAGATGATGATTTTTTACTGGATGAAAATTGTCTGAATGCGAGTAGGCGTAGCATGTATTATCAATGGGTGGCGTAGTATCATCATCATATGTCAGTCTTATTAGAAAAAAAAATAATTTGAAACTCATTGTCTGTTCGTTGAAATATGATGTACAGATTGATCGAAAACTCTTTTTTTTTTTTTTTTTTTTTTTTTTTCTTTGAACAGTTTTTTATCACTTTTTTGCGGGAAATTTCCCACATGAGATAAGAATCAGGAAAAGAAACCGGATTTTTTTTTTTTAGATTTTGACACGTCCCATGATATTTGTGTCGCGTGACATTTAAAAAGAGGGTGTACTTACTCACCGTGCGTGAGAAAACAAATTTGTTGTTATCAATACATTGATAAAAAAGAAATCCGGTTTCGAGGAAGAAAAAAAAAAGAGAGTAAAGATGAAAAGATTAAACTTTCCAATTTATCATTGTGGGGAAGAAAATAAGGAATGCACGAGGATTGTTATGACATCCAATTCCATTAAATTCCGATAAATTCTTTTGGAAACGTGTCAAGGGTAATAAAAGATTACAATCTAAATTTATTATAATAGATAATGCATAACCGTAAATTGGGATTGGACAAAATCAAATTTCTCAAAATGGTTAATCAAAATGATTCAAGTGAGACAATTCATACAATGCCCTGCATAATATATAAAATAATAAACAAGCAAACAAACCCGACTGGTTTAATTGGCTGTCAATTTATTTCCTGACCCCTCGGAGTTATCCCAAAATTTTTTCTTCTTTACGTAACTTACTTTTTATGATAAAACAAAAAATGAAAAAAAACTTTGTCCACAATGAGTAAAGATCAAAAGGTTCCAATTGGCCAGATGAAAATAAGAGATGGGGGACGAACATCAATTTCCTTTATTTGTACTTTAATCCCCTTTTACACAATCTTTTTTTTTTTTTTTTTTTTAATTCTTTATTCAACTTGCTTGCGTAATTAAACATCAAACATTACATGTGTTAATAAAAAAAAGAACTTTCTTGATATTTTACATTTTTTTTTTTCCCCACAATTCATAATATGTCAAAAATTACTTTCAAATTTTTTTTTTTTTTTTTTTTAAACCATTGGGGGTCTTTTTTGTGTTGATTTACATTGCGGTTTACTTTTCAAAAATTTCAAAATAAATATTTGATGTAATATGAACGTCATGAAGCATCTGCTAATTGACATTCCAACCCTAATTATATAAATTATAATCAAAAAAAAGAGTCGATTGTCGTTCAAATTCCGATGGTGAAACTTTTTTTTTTTGTTCATTCAACTTTCGCTTTCTTTGCTTACTTTCTCTTCTCCAACGTGCATTAAGGCAGCAACTGATGTTTGCATGCATTCAAAAAGGTTTGTTTACTTTCATTTAACCTTTTAAGTATTTTCTTTTTTGCCTTTCGTTCATTCAACGCGTTCTGAGATTTGCCTTTTTTTTTTTTTGTAATCCATTTCAACCATTCCTTTGGCCCGTGCTGCGCCTCGAAGATCCCATTCCTCTCGGTTTTTTTTTAAATCAGATCCCTTTGGATGTTTCATTGCATTTTACTTATATGGCGTCATATAATACATTTTACAAAGGATTTGATGGGGATGACGTTTAGAAATCGACGATGCAAAAATTCTTTGTTCAAAGTCCATTGGGCAGGCATAAATTATTCTCACATGAAAATAAAAAAATCATTACTCGTTTTGATCTCAATTTTCATTTGAAAAAAAAAAAATCCTTTTACCCTCAATCTTTTTCTGATTTAAAAATAACACGGGTGAATTCTAATTTTACCTTTCCAACGAATGTCCGAGTTTCTCAACGAAATTGAGAGTTTTTATTGCAGATCAAAATCAAAAATCCCGAATGATTATCATGAGTGATTAAACGAGGTCGGAAAACCCCCCCAAATAAAAAATCGTCATTGCATCTTTCTATTATCGGTTAACAAGATTTACGTTCCAATAACATTTAGGTTTAAATGTAAAAGATTTGATGTTCAACAAAATAAATAATTAATAATTTTTTTAAATTATATCAGATGATATAATTATGACATTAATATTTTATCATAATAGAAACTGAATCATCGTATTATCAAAAAAAACAACATGAGAAATTATATCACACAATTGTTCCCTATAACTGTATATATTAATGTGTATATATTAATTTAAAAGCAAACCAAAACGTGCCAGGGTGGCTTTCATGAATGTTCATAAAACTAATGGTCGCACAACGTTTGGACCTGCTGACTTTGGTTTTGCTGTGAAGTTCACATGTTCCCGAAACTGTTATAATCAATTACAAAAAAAAAAAATTTTTTTTTTTTTTTTTCCTTTTGAATGTTGAAATTCATTATTTATTGTTAAATTCATTGATGTTCAGTCTAAACTCATGAAAATCGGTACTTATTGCATGATGTTACGAAAACATTTGCGCCGCTTTCCTTTTTCAATTCAACTCCTCTTCATCAAATTTTTTCATCCATATCAAGTACAAAAATTTTTTTTCTTTTTTTTTTTTTTTTTTTCCCCTTCCATTCTTTCCTAGCGCCCAAAGAGACAATCTTGAGAAAAAAATAAAAAAAAAAAATATTTTTTTTTTCTACATATATACAAATAATTGTAAACTTTCATATATTCTTTTTTTTTACTGTATTGATACCTTTTTCTTGTTGTATGTACACTTTTCCATTTGCCACACAAACACTGCACCATATTTTTTTTTTTTTTTTTCATTCTTAAATAAGTAGTATTTGTGCTCGTGTTCTTTTTATAAACCGAAACTTTTTTTTTTTACTTCAAGGTTCTTTGAACTTATTCTTCCCAGTTTAAAAAAAAAAAAAAAAAAAAAAAAAAAACACTTCAAAGAAGAAAAACAGAGAAAAAAAAATGTACGCACAATCTCACCCTACACTACCTTCAATAACTGCTGCCATCGGCAACGGTGTTGATAAATTTAATTCAAGCTCGCTTGGCAACGGTGAACACCATATTAAACAAGAACAAGATTTTGAACATAATCCCTCCTTACCTCCCATACGAACAAATCCTATTAACCACAGTAACGGTAACATTGATACTAGCAATCACTCTAGGATGTCCATAAATCAGTTATGTAATGATACGGTAGATCCAGATTATCCCGAAGAAATGAAAGCGGCAGCTGCCGTCCTTGAAAACTTGAAAACGACGGCGGTCACTACTTTACCTTCAATTGGTAAGTCGAAATTAAAGATAAATTAAATTATTTAGCTAAAGAGCAATCGACGCATGACACGACTTTCACATTTGTTTGTCGTTACACTCGCTTGCATTAGAACCATTCGAACTAACGTCCCTGATCGAAAATAATTTCTTTCATTTGCTTTATTAGATAATATATCACCGCAACCGCTAGAACCTCGACCGCATGCAGAACAACCACAGCTTCCCAGTTCAGAAGCAGGTTTCATGTTGTCGATTGTGAAGAAAACAATGGATGTCTATGAACAGGGTAAAGCCAACTCCCCTTTCATAAAATATACAACTGAGATGGTTGAGTCGAGTGTATCTAGGTTTTCTAAACCAGTGATTGAACAGCTTGCTATAGTAGATCAATATGCAAGGGGTTTCAAAAACGAGAAAATAATTGATAACGAAGGAACAAAATATGATATTGATAATGATGATGTCTTAGATAATGAATGCCTTAAACGAAGGGTTAGGGGTAGTGAAATTTCTCGTAGTTCATCACCTTCATTTAGAAAACCTCATCGAACTTCACAATCATCAGGTTCTTCAAACAGTACTTCTTATGCCCCATACACTTATCCTAATAATAATTCCACAATATCAGCAACTACGTCGACCTCTTATCCAGAAAGAAGTCGTTGGCAGCGAATGGTTATAGGAACCGGCGCTGCTGTTGGTGCTGCCGGAGCCGCCGTTAGCGAAGAATCTATGAAGAGTCTCAAATATTGTCAAGAATGGATAAACGTAGGTTGAAAATGATGATCGGGGTTAATTCGATATCATGTCACGAGACTAAAATAACTAAATCTTTTTTATAAAAAAATATCAGTATGCTACTCAACACATAGATGCGCAGATCATAGTTTTAAAGGAGTTCATTGTAAACCTTACGAACCCATCCACACGAACGGTTGCTCGTACTTCGTCGACCTCTACCCTTGCCTCGATTAAGAAGGAGGTGGTTGAGACTCTTCGGAAAGTCATTGAAGTAGTATCGAAATATGCTGGAGTGTGCTTACCCGATCAGGCAAAGAGAAGCGTTAGGACCTTCATTTTAAACTTACCCACTCGATGGGCTTCAATAAATCATTCAGAACATTCTTCTTCCCCCTCTCCAATGTCATCTCCACAATTGGCTCCTGCCAATGGCCACCCACTAAATCAAACTACGGATTACGCACGCCGCCTCTTGAGTTTAGCCACAGAGTCATTAGATATGTTAATATCTGTATCTGGAATTTTTGGTGAAACTGTTACACGAGCAGAAGCATGGTTGGAAAGGCTCAGAGCTGTTGGTATGCCAACAAGTATGGGAGCGAATTCGACGGTGAATTTGCAATTTGATAACGTATACAGCTCGTCCAATACATCATCACATTCTTCGCCTCCCGGTTCTCGTTCGAGAAGAACATCCAATTCCGTACGTCCGAATGGCCATGGTGTACGTAAGGTATCCCGTCCAACGCCAGTTCACGTTGAAGACGACGACTCGACCTTTAATGGACATGATTCAGATTCTTCCTCAGAATCTGAGGCTGAACCCATGCGTATGGAAATGGATCACGCTCAAAAGCGCGCTTTAAAGAAAGCAAATGCAAAATCACAATCTAATGGTGCATTGAATGGAATCAAGAAAAGAAAGAAAGGAGGTAAAAAAGAAAACGATAATATAATGGACCTTTCTTAATTATTATCACTCTTGGATGATTGTATTATATATTGTAAAACATAAATCATTTTTTTTGTTAGTAAAATTTTATTCCCCCCTAAAAATTTAGAAAAAATATAATAATTTTCCAGAGACGATGTTTTGCAAATAGAAAAAAAAACCCCCCATACGCTTTTATCTTTATATGTTGACCGTAGTGTAAATTCATTCTCTATTTAATAATGACGATTTTAGTGATAAAATAATTATCGAGTTACTGAACATAAGTGATAAGTAGTGGGTATTTTAATTATTATTAGTACAATATTTACTTACTATTATTACTTTAAGCTAGTTGAAATTTATTATTATTATTACATAGTTTAGTATATATTTTTTTATTTTTTTTTTTTTTTTTTATACATATCAAACATTTATTTCACATTTTTTGTTTGTTATAACCAACAAAATTTGAAGGTTCAAAGATCGATCTCGGTTTTGGTTTTGGTTTTTTTTTTTTCTTTTTTTTTTTTTTTTTTCCTCTATTTTTTTCCGGTATTCAAGGTTGTTAGCAATTTACGATGATTTTTCTTAGCATTAGCTTTTTTGGGGTTTGCCTCTTTCATCAATTTTCAGCATTCAATATTATTATTACTTTCCTTTTTTTTTCCTCCTCAACTCTCCAATACAAATTAAATTTATTTGGATTGCAAGTTTTCGTTATATATAGCAGGTTTATATATATACAATCTTGAAACCTCTCTCACCTTTCATTTTCATTGCAACAAAAAAAAAAAATTTTTTTTTTACCGATCAATTTCATTTCTGATGAGTTTCACTTTTTTCCCGTCAATTATTATTGTTATTTTTATTATTATTATTTTTTTTTTTTTTTTTCCAATTCGCGCTCCGTAATTTGTTTTTGTTTTGAATTTAGTAAAAAAAAAAAAAAAAAAAAAAAAAAAAAAAAGGTAATTATTTATCAATAGTGGGCAAAAAGAAGAAAAACAAAAGTTAATTCAAAAATGGAAAGTGGAAATTGTTAATATAAAGATTATATATATACATAAAAATATTTACATAAATTTATTTTGTTTTTTTCTTGTAATTTATTAAATTTATTAATTGTCGAATTTTCTTGCATTAAAAATAAAAATCAATTATTTTCAACCAATTAAAAAAGTATATAGGATAATTCCTGATTTCATAATTTAAACTCGTTTGTTTGTGTTTGTTTGATCAAACTTTATTTATACTGTATATCAAAATAATAAAACGTTATATTAACAACGATCATTTCGATCGCATTATTTTATTATGTATTTTAAAGTAAATAACTATACAAACAACGGATTGCGCGCTTCTTTTGAAGAATAAGCATTATGAAGAAAAAAAATTATAATTAACATCTTACGATCAATTTGGAACGATCTTCTTTGTCCGAATAATTCTCGAAATGTTCGACAACCGAACTTGCAGTGATATATAACTATTGAAATTCTCTTGATTTTCGCTTTCATCATCTTTGAAAGAAATGGTCATCCTTTTTTTGCGCGAGAACGTACACGAAAAGGTTCATCATCTGACTCACAAGAAGGATGGTCACCATAATTTTCTTCGCATGATAAAGGAGTTGTTGAACGACTTTCATTTGAATAATAGGAATTTAGGCTCCTTTTTTCATAATCGTCGCTCGAAAATGACATGCAATAGGATTCATTTGGCTCTTTATCCGACTCGACTGAACTATCATCATTTATTTTCGTGTCGTTCGTGTACGGAGATAATGGAGGTACAACATTATCGTTGTTTGATGACGGTGAATCTCCGTCATCTTCGGTGTTATATGATTCACTCACTCGATTGACTATCGTCGAGTCTTCACCCGTAATGTCATTGTGACCACTCATCAAATTTTCGGCATCTGAACCATCATCATTAATAAACGAATCGTTGGAATCATACGTATTGGATTCACTATCAACATCCGAATTGTCTCCGTCGTTAGAATCATTGTTATAGTCAGAATCATAGTCGTTGCCCTCTATGCCAATGCGCTGACCACAATTACCACAGGTAGGACCCTCCACTATTTACAAAATAAAAGGTTAAATTTTAGTTTGAATTCTTTGGTCAAAAGTGTTGAAATCGAGTTACCTTCCCATCCACAGGTCGGACATCTCAAAACACCATCCTCTTCGTCAAGTAATGGACGAACTGAGTGATCAAATATTCCCGCCCAATGATCAGTTGTTTGTTTATATACATGATCTTCTTTTTGAAGAGTTTCTAGGACACCTTGTTTTTCCTCAGTCGGAAGTTGCTCGACTAACGATTCAACCTGATCTTTCAAAACATATGAAAGAACAGGGTCAGCTGTAACCTCAGCCCGACATGAAGGACATTTGGGAACATTCTCCCTCTTCGTCCCCAGCTAAATTAAAAATAAACAAATTATCTAAGAAAAAAATTTTTTTTTCTTTAAGAAAAACAAATAAAATTTAATCAATTACCCATTCCCGTAGACAAGAGTAACAAAAGGAATGACCACAATTAATAGTACAAGGGTTTGCCAGATATCCCGTACAAATAATGCAGGCAAGACCTGTTTATAAACTCAAAGTTAATTTTTTAAGTGACATGAGAATAATCAAATATTAACTAACCTGACTTGTACCGACTGTTCGTTGCTCTGAGTTTCTTTATTTCTTCCACTTTCTCGGCGAGTTCAGCCTTGAGTTGTTCCAACTGGCTGTCCTTCCACATACACTCTGCCTTTAAACCATCCGTTTGTAACAACAAATTCTTAATTATTTCCTTCGGATCCTCGGCTTCTAAACTTCCTTCTTTAAGGACTTCGTCCTCAGTTGACTTCTTACGTTTGGCTTCAATAAGTGCTGATGTTGAGGCTTTACGTTTTAATCCGGCGAACGTATTTAGTTCTTTACGACTGGAACTCTGGGTGTTGTCTTGAATCGCTTTATCATTATTATGGATCTTTGGGGAACCCGGACGAAGCATTGTTTCCCGCACGTTAGGAGGCTCGATGCTCCTACGTCGTTTTTGTTCAGAGCGAATATAAGGTGTACCCTTCCTTTGAAATTTTTCAGACATTTTCTCTTGAAAAAAAATAGGTTGTTTTAGCTAGTAACGAAAATCTAATCAACAACAAATTTAGAATAATCACATGCTAAGATACAGATTACTGCGGTGCTTATTCGAAAATATGAACGCGTTTCACTTTTTTTTATAATATTTTTATTTTTATTTTTTTAAAAGGAAAAAAAGAAATTACAAACTAAAAATAAATTTATAAGCTTAAAATAAATTATAAAAATATGAAAAAAAGAAATATATATATATATAAATGTATACAATGTATATTTTTATGCCCTTTTACTATGAAAACATATGAAATAAATAATGAAATTTTTGAAATTTTACATTTACCAGCGAAATACTATGCTCATAACGTTCATCTATGTTTATGATGTGATGGAAATTTACGAAGATTTTTATCATTGTGTAATTTATACACCGATTGGCCGAATGCGTAACATACAGCGAATGCCATGCATGCTCCAAGTGGGTAGACCTCAATGGGTATTGTACGAAGGAAGGAACGTGCCCCTCGGGCGGCAATCGGTCCGGCAGTCATCTTCTTATTGAAATTTGGTTTCTTTGAACTTTTCTAGACTGCTGTTACGTGTCTAAAGCGTTTATATGATAATATAGATTCTATTTTTATGTTTATTTTTATTTTATTTCGTTAAGCTTAATTAAATATTAGGCAATTATATCATGAAGTAATGGATCAATTATATTATTAAGTAAATCGGTTACTTTTGAATTCGGTTGAGTGAATCATTAGGACGAAATTTCAGCTATATTTATAACATTTCATTTTCAATAATTCATGTTTATTTCACACCACTTTATCATACGATAATACAAAAGGTGGTTCGATTTCACGAATCATCCGATTTCATAACGTCAAAAAAAAACCACCTTTCCGTTGATCTGACGATTATGATAATCATGCATAACAGATTTACGCGATCACAAAATTGTTTTGCTGAATTGAACGGTCCGAAATTTAACCAACTGGTAAATGTCAAAGAATTGGAAGTAATGTAAGAAATATTTTAGTTTGAACGTGCTTTAAATAAAACAAAAAAAAAAAATTAAAATTTGATTTCCTAAACCTTTAGGAAAGGAAAACAAAATTATTGGAATTCTTTAATTGCATTTATTCGAGAATTCAATTTTCTTATACATTAGAAATCATAAATTCGTGAAAATGAAAAAATTTAATTAATACCAATTGCTAATTATATACGGTATTATGAAACATAGTATAAAATTTTTTCCGTTTCCAGATTGACTTAGTAAATGCGAGTCAATACAATCTCTATTTTTTTTAACCTAACCCCAAGTTTTATTATTTTATACCCTTGGATATTATTTAATGAAATTTTGATTATAAAGATAATAATTTTAACTAAACTCTTTGTGAAGCGATTATAACATCAATTCAATTTTTTAAGGTTTTTATGAAATCTATTATTTATTATATTTTACTTTATATATGAAATTTCTTTTTTTTCAAAAAAAGTTATTATTTACTTTATAATATATTTAACGTTAGAACTTATAAATTTTTATGTTTAGATCAATATCATAGATAATGTTATAATATTTACATTTTATTTATTTATTTATTTTTATATAATTAATAATAATACCAATATTTTGTATTTATTAAATATTTAAAATAGATATTAATTATTAAAAATAAATTTATAATATTATTATATATCGGTTATTTAGATTTAATTTTAATATTAACTATTAAATAGCTATATATTTTAATATAAAGTATACAGTTTTTTTAATTAAATAAAACTAATAAATATTTAATTTGTAATATATCAGTAAATAATTTATAAAATATATATTATAGGTAATTATGATCAAAAAAGTCAGAGGTTTTTTTTTTGTATTTAGTTAAAATGTAACATTATCATCTAATAAAATTATATTAATAAAAATATAATGTTTATATAAGAGCATTTGTAAATTCAAAAGGTAACTTTATAATTCAATTTTAACTAATATATGGGAGGGTTTCTAGGAAAATCAGGTTCCGAGAAATTTTTGACTTAAATTAAGAGCTTAATACATTTTAATATAATAACATCAAAAACTAAAATGCAATAAAAATCTCAATTTTGTTAAAAAATTCCCGGAACCTGATTTTCCTAGCAATCAACCCATATTATAAAACTTTATTTATTAAAATATTTTTTTATTTTAAAATTAACAAATATTAAAATAATAATAACAAATGATCAGATGTTTTAATCATTTTAAAATAATCAGTTGTTAGATAAAATCTAGAAATTTTACAAGTTAATTAAATGGAAAAAGATAAAATTTAGCAAAATTATATTAAAACTTTATTAAAAAATCTGAAAAAGATAAAGTTTATAAAAATGCGAAACTATATTAAAACCTTAGTAAAAATTAGCAAAAACTAAAAATTAAACTATTTTATCAAATTCAAAATAAGTTTAAACAAACAACACTAATAAATATCAAAATAATCAAAAAAGATTTGAATATTAGAATTATGACAAAGAAAGATATATGATCAGAGATTACCAATTAAAAATTAAAACTAAAGTGCAATTATAAACTCAAATATAATTCAACCTAAATTTTAATCAGATAATCATTGAAATAATAATAGATATTAATAAAGAAATATCAATTCAGTTAAAATAGAAGAAGTTGAAGTTGAACAAAAAACTTATATGATTATTTAATCTATTCTATTATAAACTATTTAGACTGTATTACTACAATCAAAATCTAATTAAAAATAATAAAGTAAAACTCTATCTTAATCTCTAAAATATCTAATTTATATCTATAATACCTTACTATAAATGTTCTTATAAAATGATTAAAGACCTTAAAAATTCTGATGTTAATGTTATCTTCAGATAATTATTAAAAAATTCTTCTTATTTTCAAAAATTAAAGAATAAAATTAAGAAGATCAAAAATTAAAATAAAAATTACATAAACTCATATTATTGAAAATAATAAATGCATATTGCTACTAGTTGTATTATAAGGTATAAATTGAATCTGATCAAAACTATTTTAGATTTAAGCATAGCTATATATATAATTTCAATTATTTTATAAAAAAATACAAAAGATTTTAAAAATTATAACCTTTATCCCTCTAATTTTATAAGAAGTAAAATTTTTAGTTAACTTATAAATAATTAAATTAATCTAAATACTTTATTATTGAGGATAAAATAATTTAAAGTATTTGATGTAAAAATGTATTTTAATCATAACAAATTACAAATTAAAATTCATAACCAATTGATCGAATTCTAATAAATATATTGAAAAAACTAAATTATATTTCAGAATTTTAACAAAAATGAAGAAGAGGAATATGTAGATAAAACTTTATATAAACAAACTTTTTCAAGTTAAAAATAATAATGATTTTTTTTTAGATATTAATGAAAGAAGTAATAAATAGAATATATTAAATAGTTCTATCAAAAAGAAAAAATTATTACTCTTTATAATATAAATAATAAAGAAAAAATAGAAAAACAAAAAATAATTAAAGCATTTATAATAAAAAAATTATTTTAATAAAAAGAATTGACATTATATAACTACTTTATCAAATCTTCTTAAAATCTAATACATGATCTATTATTTATTTATTTTATAAATTAAACTAGAAAAAAAGATTTTTTGAAGATAAGATGTTAAAAAAAAAAGATCTAATCCTTAGAAAATCCATGAGCTTTTTAATTATAATTGTATTTAAAAAGATTAAAGATCTTAAGAAAA